GAAGGTGCCGGATGAGGCCACCCCCAGCTCCTCAGCACAAGCCAGCAGCCGGCTCTGACGGGACCCACCGTGACCAGGAGTTTAAACCCCCAAAGGGCTCTGGCCTGTGGTACAAGAGATCAGCACCTGATGAAACACGGGTCAGAGACCTCTCCAGAGCACAGGCTGAGCTTCTGCCAACTTGTGCAACTCCACCCGTGCTGGGCATTGATGGCTGCAGCCACGCGAGGGAGGCCTGGATACGCTGCTGCCTCCAGCATGGCTGGAAGGGGGGCTTCCAGCAGAATCCAGCCCACTCGCTTGAGCATTCCGTGGTCTTTGGTCATTTTTGAGACATTCAGGGTGTGTTAAAGCACAAGCTCCCAGCTTGGGAACTTCTGCTTCCTAGTGCACGATTCCTGGAGCTGAGAAAGGAAGAGAAAGAAGGGGTTTGCAAAATACAGTGGGGAAAAAAATAATAAAAACAAGTTAAAAGCCAGTTAAATAATACTTAGACATGGTTTGCATTTAAAACCTAAGCTATATTGCGTGTCTTGTGCTGGCTGTGCTTCTTTTTGGGCTGCATAGTGCCCTCTTGCTAAGATGACAGTCCTGTCATTTAAGATGCTTGAAGCCAGAACACATCTGTTCGGCTTTTTATTATGTTCACTTCCAACTATTCTTACCTAGCGAGGAGTTAAAGAGCCTAAAAATACAGATGCTTCAAAAGCCCTGTCAGAAGGAGTCACATACTGGCCAAAATGTTTGTCCTTAACACTGGAGCCTGAAGGCCAAAGCAATACTTTACTTATTTGTGGGTATTTGACAGTTGTCTCTTGTATTCCTGGCAAACATTCTCAGCTTTGCACCCAGATCAGACTCTCCTGGTTGGTGCAGTTTTACACGGCACCACTCGCTCACCCTCCCTCCACCCCCACCCAGGGATGGGAGAGGGAATTAAAGGGGTGAAGGGAAAAAGAGACTCATGGGTTGAGATAAGAACAATTTAATAACTGAACTACAGTAATTTTGGAAATCATAATAATGATAATAATACTAGTAACATGTCCAAATATACAATTGAGTGACACACAGTGACACTGCCCACCACCCCATGACCAAGGAGAGTCTCGAAACCTCAGTTCCAGAACAGGGTTGAGAGCCCAAGCATCCGAGAGACCAGGACAACCCCAAGAGAGGGTTGACCCAGAGGGAAACAACCTGGAGCAAGAAAGAGAACTTCTAGACAGAGCCCTCACCTCTATCCTGGGCATGCCAGGCATGATATGGAACAGACCATTGGCCAGTTTGTGTCTCAGTCCCAAACCTATGATGAAATCCCAGGCTGGTCAGTGGGGCTGTGCTCCCTCCCAGCTCCTCCTGCCCCTGCAGACACGGGCACAGCAGAGAAGCTGAAAAGTCCTTGACTGCCCTGGCTGCAGCTCTGCCCATCAGTGTGTGATCAGCTTCTGCTCAGCACAAACCCAAACACAGCCTCACACCAGCTGCTGGGAAGAAAGTGAACTCTGTCCCAGCTGAACCAGGACACTGGCACACACCCTTGACATTTCTGCTATTTCATGGCTTGAACCCTTGCTGAAGGGAAACCCTTTTTGTACAGTACTGTCCAATGAGTCCAAAGAAAAATGCTCAAAAAGACCCCGGAGACAGACAAGTCAGCATCCTGATGAGCAGGCGCTCTTCTCAGCCAGGGGAAGGACTGGCTCCAGTGGTACACTTCAGACAAGAACATTTCCTCGCTCCTGACTGGCTATTCCCACTAGCCCTGAGCATCACTCAGATTCTAGTAGACAGCGTTAAATTGGAAAACAAAATCCATCTAGGGAATGACAGACAGTGCCCTCCTGCAGAGCCTGGTTCTCAGCACACCTGCACCTGAAAGAGGGCGACCGTGTCCATTCCTTTCAGCCCAGGCACTCAGAGCCCAGGGGAATTTCCAGGCAACACAACTTGTGCGCTGCTCCATATGTGGCTGCCGTTCCTCTCCATGTCTTCTATGGCTGCACATCTTCTGCTTGGCATAAATAAACAGAAGCAAAAGCGAGGACTGAAACCTTTACTTCCTGAGCACAGGGACAGAACTGAACTATCCAGCCTGCTGGGCTCCTCAGTTCTCTTCCTGGACACAACAAACAACTGAGGCTTATCCCAAAGTCTGGTCAACGTTCCAGGAAGCTTCATACAGCCACCTACAGCCAAGT